AAGGAAGAAAAAGGCACAGCCACAGCAACTTCCACACACTGATTCACAAGTTGGGCAAGGAATACAACTACCTCGTCACAGGGGACAGTGAAGCAAAGACCAGTTTTCCCAAGTTCTGCTTTTCACGAGGTGTAGTGCCATTTATCTGAGGCATGGAGGGGTATGCAAGAGGTTTGGAACTCGAGTCTCTTGAGAAAAGTTTCAGAAAGAATTCAGCAAATATACCAAACAATGGCTCCAACACCATCAAAAGGTACGTGTGGTGCCATCTATAATGCTTGAGCTACTTCAGGTTTACCCCAAAATTCAATGAATTTCTCACTCAAGAAGAGAAGCATTTGCAGGTGTTCATTCTAGCCAATCTGTGGTGTGCGAAGGTCCTGGCAGGAATGATGGCCCTCCCAAACTCTGTCATTTAAGAAAACCTTAAAGAAGAGACTTGTCCCAAGTCCTAGGCCAAATGTAAGGAAATCCAAGTACAATATCAGGGGACTAATGACAGTTTATCTCTAAGCTGAAGAGTCCAAGGGAGGGGAGGGGAGGGAAGAGTCATAACAAAAGTCAAGGCCTTCATTCAGGATGAAATGCTTTCCTGCGGTCGAGGATGTAATTAACCTGCAGCAACACCACGAGAAGCTTCTCTTCCTTCCTCCCTCTTTCCGATCAATATCTAGGGCTCTCCTCTGGGTCAAGTCCAAAGGAAACCAGATGACAAAGAAGCAAGCAGCCTACAGATGAAGTCCTCATAGTTTGGCATCCCGGAGCCAAGAAAGACAGATTAAACTATAGCGAAGAGACATAGGGATCGGATGTGGCAAATGGAAGGTCCTCGTCACAGTAGATTTCTCTAGGGAGCCAAGGACTGTCAGTTGGAATTTAAAGAAAACAAAAATAATGTTAGAACTATCCTTTTGGAATAAACTGAGCAGACATACAGGACTGGACCATCACCCCAGATTAACTCAAAACAGAGATCTCACCTAGTATCAGGCTTTCCTAATAATTTTAAGGACACAATCAGTCAAGGGGCTCAGACAAAGCAGAGAGTACCTGGGACATTAACTGTGGCCTCTCTGGTCCTGTCTTCCTGCACTGGACATGCACCTGTGGCCCAGAAGAGTAGGTGAGGTCTTGAAATGAGGTCCATGGGGTTCTTCCCACAGCAGGAGCATTTTTACACCCAGAGAGTTGGATGGCTTCGGTGCCACTCTCCAGGACACCTGTCTCACACAGCCATGGTTCCATTTACTATTAGTAATACCTGAGCCAGGAAGAGCCTGCAAAGGGCTTTCAGTGGATAAGATCTCTTCCTCCTAGCAAATGTCATTAGTCTATGACCCAGAGGTGCAGTTACAAAGAGATGAGACCAGGTTGTCAGCCTTGGTCCACCGCCCCCCCTCAACTCAACACCCCCAGTATAACCACTCACACCCCCAGGGAAGGAAATAAATGCATTTTAGGCAGGCTCTTTAACCTCTTCCTCTCCCAAACACTATATTTAAAATTAAAAGAGGAAGATATGTGTGTATGTGTGTGTGAGAAAGAGAGAGAGAGGCAGGGAAGGAAATAAATGCATTTTAGGCAGGCTCTTTAACCCCTTTCTCTCCCAAACATTATATTTAAAATTAAAAGAGGAAGATATGTGTGTGTGTGTGTGTGTGTGAGAGAGAGAGGGGGGCGGGAGGAGGGAGGGAGGAGAGAGAATTTTCAAGAAGAGAAAGAGAAAAATATAAAAATACAGAGGAGGGGAGGTCACTGGGCATCTCTTGCTTGAGACAGGCATGAGGAAATCTGCTATATGCCTCTTACCCTAAACAATGTTCCAACTTTGTCAAGTCCACGGCGAAATGCAACCCAGGTCAGTTCCCTTGAGGGAGGTTACAGGCAGAACCACAGTTGTGTCCTCGGCCAGCACAGTCAGACTCTCCTCCTTTTAGATCCAAGTGAGGCAGAGCAGCTGCCATCAAACTCAGGCCGCCAGTGCCTCTTCTATGTCTGAAGCCTTAGGAGCTTTTAGATGCCCTTTTCCCCCATCTGGAGAAGATGGTGTCATGAACTCTCTAAAATCCAGGATTGAAAGCAGGCATGGGGAAGTTGGGCCTGAGCCACGGCTGGGACTAGGGGTAAATATGTCACCCCTTCTGTGACTATGAGCAAGTCCACACAAGTGTGTATTTTTCTAAAAGCAGGTCCAGAATGCTTGTAGGATTCTCAAAAAGACTGAGGGCCTATAAAAGTTAAGCCGGCAAAACCGAGTTTTTAGTGGACCAGGGACAGATGAGCATGTCCCCACTGCCAGCATCCCAACCCTGGTCTGCACTGTTCTGTCCCTCATCTATCCTCCTCACCCATGGGAGCATCTCCAAGCCCAAGGTCAAGCCTGAGCACAAACACAGTCTCAAATGTTTTTGAAGATGCCGTCAAACATTTTGAATACGAAACACTTATTTTAAAATTAAATCAAATGTGAAGAGCAGAACTCACCGCTTCGTTTTGTTAGATAACGTCTTAAAGCCATCCTGCAGATTCGTGCATCTCTCTGTCAGCTGAAGTGACTTCTCATTCGGATAGGTGCTGTTCCATGAAAGAGATTTAAAGAAATGATTGATTTAAAATGAGTTTATTGTTAAAAAAAAAATCGGACTTAATTGATAACATGTGCCCAACTGAAGTCTGATTTTTCTTCCATTATTGGATTTCTCTGTAGAAAAGGAAATTGATATTTTCACCTCTGACAGGTCTAAGTAAACAAAGGAACAAAGAAAAAAACATACTATAAAGCCAAAGAGAAAAGAACTCCCTATAGAAGACTTTATATTTTTATAATTTGAGGTTAGTACGTACAATGAACAACTTATTTAATATTTTTAATCATTGTGTATGTAAGCAGGCTTTATTTTTTTTTTAAATGTTGTCTCTGGTAGGAAGAATGCAGACACAGTTCTCTCCAAAAATATCGCAAGGTAAATCTGGCCTTTGATTATTATATAGCTGTGATAGAGGGTCTGTTGCTATTATTTATGTACCTGGAAAATTAGAATCGGAACAAAACCAAATCAAAAAACAAGTTGAAGGAAATGGGTTATGGCGTTGGGCTGCCCACTAGCTAACCACTCTAGGCATCCCTTTCCACATCTCTAGTTTTTCCCTCATAGTGTTATTGTCATGATTGACACATGACATAGAAAATAATGTAAACCACTTGGTACCATGCCTAACATAGTAAATGCTCAAAAAATGTCAACTCTCACTTTCCTTAGACTTCAAAGCAATGCATACAACTCTGATTTACTGTTATTGCATTTATTTAATCATGCTGAAGGCATCTGCTAAAGAGAACCTAATATGGGCTGGATGCTTAGGATATGGAGCACCCTGTGGAAAAAACAGACATGGTCCCTTTCCCTAATGGAGCTTGCAGTCTGGCTAGGAAAAAAGATATTTATCAAATAAACAAACAACAAACAAACAAAACCCATACAAATGAATATAGAATTATGAACTGTGATTAGAGTCATCGAAAAAGCAGTGAGTGCCATGGAGGAGTGTAACGGGAGACCCCTGCATGCTGAGGGGGCCTCTGAGGCAGTGTCATTTAGGTGGCAATCTCAAGGGTAATTCGAGTGAGCTAGATGAACTTTGGGGAGTGGGGAAAACATTCCAGGCAGAAGGAAAAGCATAGGCAAAGGTCCTAGGATGGGGAGCAGCCCAGAATGTTTGAGGAACTCAAGGAAGGCAGGTGGGGCCCAAGGCTAAAGGCTAAAAGGTGGTTGGAGTAGTGAGCGGTGGGCAGAGCACACAAGCCTGGTCAGCCATGTTTAGAATTTATCCAAATAAGAAGGGGAAGCAACAGAACGTTGGGGCAGGAGAGTGATGTGACTTGACGTATGCTTTAAGAAGTTCACTATGCAGAGAAATGAAATGAGGAGAGGTAGGGCTACAGACAAGATAGGAAAGTGAGGAGGTTTCTGCAGAGTTCCAGGAGAGAAATGATGGCGCCTTGCTTTACTAATCGAGACAGAATAGACTATGATGTCATAGTAAAAAAACAACTCATAGTTGCTCTCCATAACAAAGCTTCGTTTCTTGCTCCTGACATGCCCACTGCATGTCTGGGGGGCTTTATAGGACAGCTGTGCTGCACTCACTTTAGGGATCCAGACTGCTTTGGTCTTGGGGCACCTGCTCTGCAACAACCTGCTTCCAAGAATGTACTGGATGGCCTTACCTTGTATCTGAACACTCTAGCCCGGCCAGAACCAGTCGCATGCCTGACCTGATTGCAAAGTGGCAATCAGAAAACAGCAACCATCCTGAGTGCCCAGAAAGAAGGGAGGTCGGGACACAGAAGTGCACCGAAGATAGCACCACACTATCAGCCAGAAGAGGAGCTGACAGATTCGCGATCTGTTCTGGAGATAAGACTGACAGGGCTTCAAAATAAATTGGATACGGGAGGTGAGGGAGCGGGAGGTGTACAGGTAAAGGGATAAACAAGAAAGATTCATAATTAATTCTCCAATATTTCTCAGAAAAGCACTGTGCACGGAGTACATATGGGCTCATAAAATCCCTCTTTATCCTGATATAATTTCACCCCTCCCCCGCCACCTCCCTTCTCCTGCCTCCTTCTGTCTCCATACCTCACCTTCTGTGCCTCCTGAATGTATTATCGTACTTTCCAAGGATTTGTTTATTTCTAATTGGCTGTGTATTTTATTCAGGCAGCACCGTTAATGAAGTGAATTACCGAGCCAGCAGTGCTTTGAATTATGATGGCTTTGCAATATTGAATTGTAAAACTGTGATAAGCAGGCACCCATAGGATTTAGTGTCATAAAACTTTCCTTAAATCGGAGAGTATCTTTGTTACTAAAAAGTCAAAACAGTTTTGGCCAACCGAAAAGCACAGAAGGTCTATGGAAAGCAGATGAGAGCATCAGGGGGTGAAGTGGAAATGAGAAATTAAAGTCATGGAAGAAACAGGGTCTTAGGTTTCAGTAGGACCAGCCTTTGAATCTGGGCTCCACTCCCTGACCTTGGCCTCTGAACCTAAGGGTTTAATTTCCCTTTTTAAATTTTGACTCAATGAAGTAGTTATAAGGATGCTATAGGTTGAATGTTTATGTTCCCTTAAATTCATTGACTAAAACCGTAAGCCCCAAAGTGATGGTTTTAGGAGGCAGGGCCTTTGGGAGGTGATGAGATCATGAAGGGGGAGCCCTCAAGAATGGGATGAGCGTCCTTATAAAATCGGCCTGAGAGAGCGCTTGCTCCCCTTCTGCCTTGTGACATTGCAGGGAAAAGGTGGCCCTCTATGAGGAATCGAGATCTCACCAGACACCAGAACTGCAGGTGCCATGGTCTTGGATTTCCCAGCCTCCAGAACTGCAAGAAAGAAGTGTCTGTTGTTGATAAGCCAGCCAGTCTGTTACAGCAGCCAAAGGGAAATTGCATGGAAATGCCTGGCACACAGAAGCCACTAAATAAAGGCTGTGCTCTTATTCTTCTAAACGCCACCTTGGAGTCTTCCCTCAAACCGGTCATCGTTATACCCACAGGGGTGAGAAAACTCTCTCACTGTGGAAAGTCACTTCACAGGGAAAGGAGCGGAAAAGGACGTCCCTTGAGTCCCCTTTGCTTTCTCGCCTGTCCTCTTCTCCTTCAAAGCATCGTCATAGTTTTCTTTCTTTTATGCCAATGTCACGAAAACCTTCCTCGAAAAACGTTAAAATATTCAGATGCAGAAGCCACAAACTTCAAATATTTGTTTGAGTTAGGCATCTGACCTAACATCACTGCCCTTTAGATAAACCTCCCAGTCCGTGTTGTTTTCAACAATATTGGCTATTCAGTGAGAAATACAAATTAACACGATAACTGCCATGTTTTAAAATGTTTCGAGACCTGACAGGTAAGAGATGCCAGGAGTCGCTGGGGAATGAGAAGGCACTGGATCTTCCAAGCTGGATCACCCAGTTAGGCTAGATGGCCACTCCTCTCTGTCATGTGAGTAAGTGAGAACTCGATGACCCTTGAATCTGAGCCCACGAGGAGAACCACAAGGGGGTCATTTGCTCTTGAAAGAGGAAAAGAAGAAACCTCCTCAGTTCTGAGTTGAGAGAAGACACGACCAGTGGACAGATCCAGTTCGAGAAGTTGGCACCCACTGCAGATGAGGACATTAGCTTGAATCCTCCTTCATTTCCAGTTTGGGAATACCTCTCAGACGAGTCTAAGAGGACAGAGAGAAATTGATTGAGATGAAAGTACGAATTTCGAACACCTGGAGTCAGAGGCAACCTGGCGGAAAGAAGAGCTGGCTACATGACCAAGTGTGGGCTGACTTGTAACCCCAGGAAAGATTACTGGGGATCAGCTTGAAAGGCCCAACCAAAAAGACTGGATGTCAAGGAGAACTTGAAATGGTAGAGGAAGCTACAGAGGTGAAGTACACCTGAGCCTGGAGCTCACATTCAGGTAGATGAAGTGTAGGATATAAATTGTGAGGAGATCCCCGCTCCCATTCCTGCGCTTCCCCCACAAAAACTAACACAAGTTGGCGGTCTGAACACTTGGGTCTTCGTGGAGAAAAAGCACAGGTTTCGGGAAGACTGTCAGATAAGCTGTAAGAACCACAATCCCTGGGGCCAGACTCTTGCAGGTTCAAATGAAGACTTCTGCATCTGTCAAGTCTGACACATTTTTTTAGTTTCAGTTCTTTGGTGAAAACCCTTTGTAAGAACTTCTTACCAGAATCAGCTTACAAAGAGAAAAGGTACAGTCCATGTGTGATCTGCCAAACCCTAAGGTTGAGAGTGATCCCAAGACAAGTCATGGGAGGGACAACGGCCACCCTTTTAAAGAGCTACGAGGACTCGGTGGACCAAGCGAGCGCTCGAAGTGTCCCAGACCAGATCACCGAGATGACTGACTGCC